CACACAATTATTATACACCCTTCTTCTTCTTCTTCTTCTTCTTCTTCTTCTTCTTCTTCTTCTTCTTCTTCTTCTTCTTCTTCTTCTTCTTCTTCATATCCTTCTCCTCCTTCTCTACCTCCTCCCCTTCCTTCTCCTCCTTCTCTACCTCTTCTCCTCCTCCCCTTCTTCCTCCTCCTCCTTCTCCTCTTCCTCCTCCTCCTCATCATCATCACACCATCATCATCACACCGTCATAATCATCATCATTGTTGAAGAATATACTAACAGTCAAGACTTGGAAAAGGGGCTACGTAATCGTGAGATTTCGGGTTCGGAAATTCGAAGCTCAGACTATGAGGGGGGCTCTCGAGGCCTAGAGGTTAAGGTGTTCGCCTCTCATTCAAAGGGTCCCTGGTTCAAATCCGAATAGCGACGAAAAATTTTCTTCTCTAAATTGTCTCCTTTCACCTCTGTTTCTGCTCTCTGACAGTGTTCTGTCGTCTGCTTTCGTCTCTACTTTCTGCTCCCATCCCTTCACCTGCTTTGTCCCCTCCTGACTCTTTTTGCAACCTTTCTACTTCACTCCTTGGCTCATTCTTACTGATGTCTTTCAGACATATCCCCGACCTTATGGAAGGAAAGATCTACGCTCTGTCTTCTCGAAAAAGGGCGAAAAATCTCGGAGGTCCCGTGAGCAAGTCGCGGACGTTAAAAAGGTGCAAAATCAATCAGGTTAGACTTCGGCCGCCACCCGGGCAAAATTCAAAATTTCCTATCAACTGAAAATGTTTAATGTGTCTTGCGCGCTCATATGGCCTTATGCAGTTGCGAGCGCCGTAAAACACATACCAAAAAAAAAGAAAGACTTTGTATCCTTCACACAAATTTCCATAACTTCATCGGCCATAGAAAGCGAAAGAGCTCGTTTAAAAAACAAAATATTTGTAATAGTTTTACGGCATTTGCAAAACAATAAGGTAATATAAGTGCCGATGTTTAGAGGTGGTACAAGAGAGTAACAAACACAAAAAAGAAGGAGGAGAGATAAGGACGACAGATGTTTGACAGGAAAAAGGAGCAAACCACACCAGAGCACCAGCCAATCACCTACAAAGATCTTGTCAGTCTGTAAGTGTTTTAGCGAGGGCAAAATGGCAGCCTGCATTGTACGTTTGCTATTGTGAAACCAATTTCCCTATTCGGTTCAGTAAAGTGAAATTCATTTGTTCATTTCATTCAAAAGAACAAGAAAGCCAAAACTGAACAAGCACAATCACCTCTCAACCACCCCTCTCCGCCAAAAAAAAAAAAATCCCGAAAAAAGATATAAAAGCCATTTTAAAAAAAAGTAAAAATGAAAATAAAATAAATAAATA